TTGCTTTCTAGTGTCTTGTTTTATTTTTGTTGCAAAGAAGAAAAAAAGAAACTATGCTTAATAAAAAAAAAAAAAACAAGAAATGACGTCCTTTTTTTTATTATATTCTAAATACTATCAACAGCTTGCAATTGTCTAGGGTACATATTTGGAACGAATATAAGTCAAGTACAATCAAAATAATTGACAAGGTCAATGGGAAGTTGTTTTTTTAATACATTTTCTTTTGTATATAATTACATAAAGAATAGAACATCTGTGTACTCATTCTTATATATATCATAAAATCTCAAAAAAAAAATATTCAAACATGACACAATAAAAATGCTACTAATTATCTGCTTTTGTTTTTCAAATGGTACCTAGATTTTACAAGCAAAAGATTTATATTTATTTCCTTCTATTGTGTAAAAATAATTTTTAATCCTTAATAACACAGAATTCAAGTACTTTTTATGCACAAGAACATTTAGGTCATGAAAATTTTTACTTGCATTATCTGACTAACAACAACAAGAAAACTTTTCATTCTCTTATCGAAAAATAAAATAATACGGTCTTGTCACATACTTTATCATGATTCATTATTAGTTTTTATAACACAACAATCATTTATGTCGTATATTAAAAATAAAGACGTCATATATTCATCATATAAACGAAGTTTTTTTTTTTTGTATGACTAATTTGATAATATTTTAGAAACATATGTTTACAAAAGAAAAATCATGATCGCTATGATAGATCATCAAATTTTTCGAAAATTTTAAGTATAGGTACATATTTTTTTACGTTATTTAAATTCGACAACAAAAAAAAACAAACATTCTCTGCGTCCTTTATCAAAATTAATACTTACTATATTAGACATAATCAGCTTATTGTCTAAGACTTACTTTGAAATTTTCTATCATAAATAAATTAATCATATAGGAATTGAATGTAGGCCAAAATGAAAAAAAAAAAAAGCAAAATTGCATTTTATTTTGATGTAGGATAAAACATATGTTAATAGAGCATTGAAAACTACTTTGATTATAAATATACTTATGTTCGTTCTCATATATCATTGTTCTTTACATAGAAACAAGAGCAAATATTCTTTTTTTTTTTTATTATACAGTACTCGAGTTAACGATGCTGTAAGCGGTCGTAAACGATGGAAACCAACATCTTTACGTCATCGTTGTTGGAATAAAGATAATTATTCTATCACTTGATAACTTAAATTTTATTCATTAAATATCATTGTATAAGTATGAAAAAAAAAAAAACAAAACATCAGAGATTTCATTGTTCATATATATTTTGCTTTTCTTTTTATTATGAGACTCTTAAAACATGATTTTTGACTAGATCAAAAATTAGTTATTGTTCATCACTAAAACGTAAACGTTGTGCAGGTGAACCTTCATCATCATATTGCACATTACACCGAGTTGATGCTGGAATTATATTTATATTAAGTTCAGCTAAACGAGTTTTATTCATAACAAAAAATTGTCGTAATTGATCACCATCATATGTTGGTACAAGTGTTACCTAATAAATTAAAGAAAAACAAAAACAAAAAAAAGCGATTATTATTTCACATAATAATAAAAACCTAACTGGTATTTGTTCTTGTTTATCCCATTGTTGTTTTCCATCAATTAATGATTCTAATGTAAGACGATTTATTTCAACAGCATTTAATATATAATAACGAGCACGTATACGACGAAAAAATTCACTATCAACATAATGTTCATTACCATGATATGGAATATATGCAACATCAACATAAAATATTGAACCTATTGGTAATGTTTGTTTTATTTTACGTGTATTATTAATTGACATTGTAGGAATACTTGATTTTCTAACAGTCGATTTTTTTAAATGATTTTCATCATCCATTGGTAAACCTTGTGGATTTATTTCATCAATTGATGGCATTATATTTTTTGTTGTTGATATATCATGATGAATTATTTCTATATCATCAGTTTTATCAAGAAATGGATTTCGAGTATTAGGTGCACCATCAACAAAACTTATTGTCATAGGATCAGTAGAAATAAAATTTGAATTTATTTCATCAAGTGGTGTTGCTGTATTACTATCAACAAATGGTTCATTTGTATTTTCAATAAATGAAAATGATTCTGGACGTTTTATTTGAGTATCATCATCAATTTCTTTCTGTTGATCATTCTAAAAAGAGAAATTATTAAATTTTTAAGAACAAAAAAAAGAGTTGTAAGTTTTAACGTCTTACATCTTGTTCGTGATTATCAATTTTAGTAATGCTCGTTGATATTGTTTGACGAGAATTTTGTGTCTTCTTATCATTAGTAATTGATTGAAGAGATCTATCAGTTGTTGAAATAGATGTCTAAAATATTAATAAAGTTAATATTTGTTAATTTCATATGAATCTTGTTTACTTTCTTATCTGTTTTAGTTGTTGTAGGTGCTGATCGAGATTTATTATCTGATTTTATAGTTGTAGTTGATAGAGGTTTTGATTTTGATGTGATTGTGCGTGAAATCACTTTTGTTGTTTCAGCACTTGATATCGGTTTAGATTTTGAAGACGGATTTTTAATATTTATGTTGCTATTAGTAGATGATATTGTTGTTTTCATACTACTTGCTCGAATTGTTTGATGTTGTTGAGATTCATGTAATAAATCCAAATGACGAACTCTAGCTAATGCTTCAAAGACGAGTGTTTGTGGACATGCACCTGTATATAGAATACGAACTAAACTATCTTTGGTTGATTTTGATGTTGGTGTCCAAACAAGAAGTGTACATGATGAATACCAATGATGAAGAGGAATTATTGAAGATGATGGTTGTTGATCACGAATTGGAATCTAAAAAAGATTTTTGTTTTTTTTGTTTGCTTTAATTTGTAATTGTAATATTTCGTTTTACTTTTTGTAAAGTTGCTAAAAATTTATCATCATCAATTGACGATGGTAATGGATATAATACATAAAGATCAAGTGAACCAAAAGCTATTTTTTTATAAAGATTTATTGGTTCTATAGTATGTTTATTTGGTGATATAGATTTTATTAAATCAAATGTTTCAATATTTAATTGTTTAATATCATGTACGAATTGATCTATATTATGAGATAAATTAACTGATAATTTGCTATTTGACGGTAATTTTGATATATATGATGATTGAAATCGTATTCGTTGAGTATGATTAAGAAAAATAGCTCCTATATCTGGTTTACATAATCGACCATCATGTAATGATGGTATTGTTTTTCGATGAAGTATTGTTTGTAAACCAGGAAGAACATCATAATCAAAATGTGTTAAAATACAAGCATCAATAGTTTGTAAACCACGAATTAAATTCCAATAAGAAGGTATTCGACTAACAAAAACAAAAATGTTTTTACAATAATTTGATATTAAGGTAAGTAATTAGAGTTGAGGAATAGCAGACACGATCGCTCTGTCATTTAGGAAGACAAGCAACAGAACAATAGGATATGCTTGTTTATTTTTGAATGGATTTGAAAATAGATTATGTCATCAGAGAATACATTTATACACAAGAGAATGTTTTTATTAATAGTTCTTTCTATTTCCGGATTCATTTACAAATGATGAATGCATCCGTTTTTCTTTTTTAGATTAATATTGTTATAAGCTATTTCATAGGTGAACAGAAATGCTATTTTAACCGTTTTCATTCATGAAAAAAAAATAGAATTCAATTAACAGAAAATACAACCTAAAGGGTGTAAAATAAGTTCTGATTCCATTCATGTAATATGCTTTTCCTATATGTTTTTTCAGTAGAATAGGCTGATATTTG